ACTCTCCCCCTGGATCTTTCCCCCTCCATTTCTCCTGTCTTTTACCATCCTCTATTCAATATCACCCTCCCTTACTTGTTTCCTAATTTCCACTTTGCCCTCTTGGATTCCACTTTTGTAAGTTTTTTTCAAATTTCCTCTGAATTTTATAATCTCTTTCTTTCTTTTCCTCACTGTCTTCAATCTTTTTTTGTTACTGATAACACTGCCTCGCTGAAGTGTGCCACCCAAGCAAACATGTTGCGATGATGAGGCCTGACCTGCTAGCCCTGTCCCTATTGGCTACGCACCAGGCTGTCTCACTGGCTTGGTCTGCCACCAATCTCTCTGATTATATCTCACTCTCTAGGGAGGTGTTGTAGCAAGCTGGTGTGTATCCATGTATGTGTGTGTATGCCAGGGGTGTGTGTGGCGCAGCACTGTGGCCTCCCATTAGCTTCGGTTTGTTTAGTCAATAGCGGCAGGTCCCAGTGGTATTTTTAGCCTGTCCCCCCCACCAGAATGGAGCAGCCACTCAGCGGGGCTTTGTGCAGCTGAGGAGAGAGTCCGTCATTGTGTTTCTTGGTTTGGGACTTGTGACGGCCGCTATTGATGTTTGACCGAGCACACGTGCTGCAAAGAATCCTTGTAGTCGGCCGGCTTGTTAGGAGCAGTTAACTTAAGATGAGCGGGTAGTTTGTGACACAGGGTGGTGAATGAAAAATAGATTCTGGATGAGAGTGGCTGATAAATTTAAAGTTGTGTGTAATTTCTTTTGTCACATTTTCACATGATGCAGTTTCTGGATTTTAAAAAATTAAAGTTAATTTATTTCTCATTTAGAATCCTTTTTTCCTCTTTATTCAAATGAGTGTTGCAGAAATGACCTCACTGTTCTTGATTACTACAATATGTAAAATGTGACACCTGAACCCCCCCCACATGAGTCATGTGATTAGATGAGAGTGAAAGTGACTCACGAGGTTTGACCACAGTGTGGTGTCACCGCCTCACACACGTGACGCATTCACTGAACCTCATTGTGCTTTTTAATATATAACAATTAGTAGAAGGTGCATTTGCATGCGTTGGTGTGTGAAGCTTCATGTGCAGCTTACGATTATTCTCATTAGCAGATAAATTATTAGTGGAGAAGTTATTTTCTGGATTAATCCTGTTTTCAGTGACAGAAAATAATAATAAAGAAAATCTTTAACATTAAATATTTAAAAAAATTTTGTGAAAGTGACTTAAATATATAAATATTTACCAGTCATTTTTCTCAGAATTGATTAATTACTTCAAACTGTTTTGGCTCTAAATGTGTATTTAATGCATTTTTGGGAGTAGGTCTGTGTAAATGTATATTTATTTGTCTCCTCTGTTTTTTCATCTTCTTAGCATGGCCCCGAAAAAATTACAATCTTGCATATCCAAGAATTATAAATCCATGAATCGCTTGTTTCTCTATGATCCACAATCATCCGATCATTGCGTCTCTATCCAAATGTAAACGTGAGGGTTGTTTTTTTCTTTTTTCTTTTTTTTCTTTGGACCCGGTCATAATATTAGTAGATTTACTGTCTTGTCAGGCTGAAGCCGGATTTATGAATCCTCTACATGTATATGAGGATTAAAAAAAGTGGATCCTTGGAAGCATGAGAGCATTACAGCGAGGTTTTTAAGGATTACACCTCTATCCTGCTTTTCTTGAAAGAAGCCTTTCAGCCCAGAGGGGACATTGGGGCACGGGAATAAAACAAAACGGGGGGGGGGGTTGGCCTAAAGAGACAGAGGCTCAGAACAGGATGTACAGAAATGTCTCTCATAACAAAGATTCTTAAAAATCAGCTGTCTTTATTTATGGGTCATATTACTGCTTTAATAACTAATTTTCAATGTAGTCGACAGTAGAAAACAATTAAAAGTGTGCTGGTAAAGTTTTTCTTGGTTTGTGACACGTGCTTGCGGCGCGCCCCCCTGTGCATCCTCGGGTGGATTGAAGTTGGATTAATACCAAGGGGCTTCACCTCTGTCTTCCCCCCCTGGCCATGGCCTGGTCTGTGCTGCAGCCAACAGATGCCTCCCTCATGGGACCATCACCACAAGGAGCTTGTGGTTTCTCAAGTGCTGCTGATACTAATCGGATCATGGATGACATATTGCCGGGGTGAAGGGGATTGTCATGGTCCAACTGGGAATGGGGCCAGAGGGGGTACAGGGTTAGATGAGGGGACACGTGTTTGTGTGTGTGCGTGTTTGTTTTTCTCAAGACGAAAAGGACCGATTTGAAGTGGAAGTGGAAAGATGGTAAAATGAAAACTACTTGGAGAAAAGAGAAAATAAAGTTAATTTGATGATAAATGATCAATGGAGTTCAAGATTACATTTTTCACAAATTCAAAAATTTGTATTGGCCATGTTAGCTGATACAAATATATTTTGTGTCACATTTCTGATTGGGTTTCTCTTGGTGTTCTCAAAAATCCCTGCACTTTAACTCTAATGATTCATTACACTTAATGGTGACCTTGTCAGTGTCAGAAAATAAAAACAAATAATTTCCTCTGGAAAGTTAATTACGAGTAACCTTTGTGAGTCCACCAAATTAAATTCAGATTGTCGTACTGTTGCTTGAAAAGATTCACCATTATTTCAGTGCAACCCACTTGATGGGGATTTTTAAAATCATCCCTGGCACGTAAAACATTTTAAGCTACTAATTAGTGATATGCTGTAAATATGGTGGCTGATGTGTTGTTCACCATAGATGGTCAAGACCAGGGAGGTTTGGTAGGAGGTTACAAAAAAATGGATGAATGTAAAAGAATACAACAAGCGATTAAGTTGAACAGAGTGTGCACCAATGATTATACATTTTAAAAGTTGAACCTGTGCCTTGTGTTTTTAGTGGATCACCAGAGAACCAGAGGGCTCATGAATAGTGTTGCTCCGGTGACGCTGAGCTAAGTCCATTAGCTGGAAACACCTGCGTTTTCTCTTCTGGTTAAATTCATATGGCTGCTTAATGAGCTTTTGTGACTGGTCGACGTTCAGACCCCAGATCCAAACCTAAACCCATTATATCACACTCCCAGTAGTGAGAGGCTGACATCACCAGCCTTTGTCTGCTCGATACATCCCACCTTTAGTACTTTGTTTGTACTAGAGACACACACACTCTGCATTTGCTGATGCGTGGATACAAAATAGTGTTTTCTTTTCATTTATAGTTATCTATAATAAAGATATACTGTAAAACTGTAATATCATACCTCTATTAAATTTTTTTGTTATAAGGGTTGAGAGCAACAATTAAGGACTCATTGACAAATATTTCCCTTTATTATCAAACAATTTATCAATATCTCTTACTTCTAATATTGGTATTGGCACATCTATATACATACATTAGGGGGGTCAATTGTACATTTTTCATTTGCTACTGACAATTTATGATTCTGAACTTAAACTGAAATTCAAATTAAAGTGAAAGAGTACAGATAAAAAATGTTTTTTTAAATCTGAAATCTTTTCTACAATACTAATGTAGGGGCAGATCATTTCACAGTGATGTTGTGTGTTATCCATCATTTTACAAGTAACTTCTGACTGTGCAAAACATATTGAGAAACTGTCTGAATAGTGAGGTTAAAGTGATTCCAACATCTGAGAGAAAAATAATTTCCTGCAGGCCGAGCAGATGAAGGGTTAAAGGTTCTGTGCTGCTCTGGTGTGAGGGTAAAGATAAGGAACAGGGCAGCGCTGTGTTCACCTTGGACAAGAAGGTTTAGGCAAATCACCGGGGGTCTGGTTAAGTGGTCAGGGTGGAACACGCAGATCCTGTTAGAGGAGCCATGAATGGACGGCTGAGCCACAGACTGTGTGTGTGAACGCCAGTGTGTGCAGGTGTGTTTGGTGAACAGATGGTGGAATCAAAAAGACCCAGTAATGCAATTCAAGACAGGTCCACTCCACATATTGCTTGACACCAGCTCTGTCTGTCTTCTGCTTTTTCTGTTTTTCTTAGATTATGTACATTTTCTCAGTCTTTTAAGGGAACTAAATATTAGAACTAAAGTTACCATGGGAGTCGTCCTGTTGTTTCAGTTTTGGAAAAAGCTTGATCCCTGTAATGTGTCTATGTCTTGGAGACAGAACCATTATCTCAAACTGTTCCACAGAGAGGCTTACTGTAAAGAAGAGGAAGCACATTTAGCTGAAATGTCTTCAGCCGCTTTACTGTCAGCACACTCGAGACATCAGCTGTGGCTTTTGTCGGCGTTGTGTGTAAAGACATGTTTGTCTTTGTCCGTCCTCGCTCTGTCATCACTGGTCTCAAACGCACATCAGCTGGATTTCCTCTGCAAGTCGAGGTGTCACGTTTCCTCCCAGCTGTGGAGTTGCCATGGCAGTGCAGGTTTGAATAGAAGTAAATACTCAACAGGACAAAGCCACGAGTAGACGGTGGCTAAGTGGTGTTAGCGGCTTAGGAAATGGATCTTAATGAAGGAAAAGGCTTAAGCTCAATTGTTGTTGTCACATTTAGGGAGATTCTTGAGCGGTGCTGGGAAGGAAAAACACTCAGACCACAACTTTTACGTTGCACATAAACACTACTTGAGGATGAGCTGGAGACTGACTGTGAACACTGGGTTTTATGAAGTCAAGTCAAAGTTTATTTACATATCACATTCAGAACAACCACAGTTGACACAACACAAGTGCTGAGCCGGCTTATAATATGAAAAAATATATATATATTTATTTATATATAAACAGAGAATAAATATGTCAAACATCATAACATTTAATAATTAAAGTATTGCACAAGAGCAGACGAAATCAAGGTCTTAAACTCAACTTGAATTGTAAAACCAGTGAGAAGAAGTGGGTCTTAACAATGATTGAAAGGTTTCGAGGGCCGGAGCTGTTCTGATATGAAGAAGTAAACTGTACCAGAGAGAAGGGGCAGCCACTGCAAAGGCCTGTGCCCCCTTTTTTTTTTGCCTTGATCCCAGAAGCATCCAGATGCATTTAGACGAAGGCTTAGGTTTGCTATATATATTGCTAGTGATCAATTTAAAATTGGACATCCCAGTAATGCCTAATATGCACAGATCCATCTTTCTAATGTGACTTCATGCTGGTTTCTATTCTTCTACAATAGCATATTAATCGAATTTGGGTTTTGTGTTATTTGTTGAAAAACATTAAGCGATTTGAAGATATCACTTTTCTCAGAGATTTTATTGTCCAAAGTTCTAATCTGATACTTTACTCACTTTGAGAGGAATTGATAATGACAGTAACTCTCTCCACACCTTGTTTGCACCATAATGGAGTAATTAATTTGTTTCCACTGTGCTCTGCTGTTTTGCGCCTGCAGTACTTTCCAGGCCGTCCCATGGTGATGAACCTGTTGAAGAGTTTAAGCTCCTGGCTACAGAGCCAGACTGGAGATGAGATTTCCTACGAGGCCTTTAAAGAGATACTGGATAACTCAGCACAGGTAAGTCAAGACAGAGACATCAGCTGTTTTCAAACATGTTTGCATTTCAATCTTTTGGTTTTTCAGTTTTTCATCTGTTGCATCTTACACGTTATCAACACACCCACTGGCCTGGGGTGAATCTGCAGGCATAATCCTGCTGTATTTACATATCAGCTCACTCAGACATTTTCCGGATATTTTTCTAGAGGACTGTGAGGAAAAGTTCATAAAAATGGCAACTGACTTGGATATTTGTGTTCTTACCTACAGAACATTTTCCTGGAAATGTCCAGACCTCAGTGCATTAAAGCAGCTATGCAAGCAGCCATCAAATATGTTTTGACAGTATGAATGAAGTTGGAGCTTCTTGTTTGTCCTCCGTCTTTTGTTCATACATTGGTTTCAGAAGTGGCCTCTGTACTAGATACAGCATCAAGAAAGTACATGAATCAGAAGGTTTTTAAGCCTGAGCAGGTAGGGAGGCATTTAAATGAAAATAAAGTGCACACTAGAGAGATAAGCAGCTGCAGGGAGAACAGAGGGCAGGTCATCACAAAATTCACCCAGACTGACATCCTCACAACACAGTACAAATACATAAAAACAGATAAATATGGAGGTGTTTGAATATGTACTTTGCCCTTGTGTCGGTGCCAGCACATACCGCTGAAAATCTATGTGCTGTTGTCTTTGGAATGAAGCCTGCATGCCTCCAGTATACGGCCCCTCGCAAATTGAAAGAGTCACTTACTTACATCATTAGCTTTTAGCGGGCAAATCAATGGATCAATGAATCAATGGGAAGGTATGAATAGACTTCGCCTCAGAGGAAATGGACTCTGTATACACACACGTACACACACACACCAAATCTTTACTATTGACATGTGAGTAACCCTGTCAATCACGCCAGCAATGGCAGCACAGCGTGGTAAGAGAAACGACTTTATGTCAGAGAAAATATGTCGTTGGATTCAGCCAATGCTCACGGTTAGAGATCTGTATCGTTTCTGTTCATTAGCGGAGGGCTGAGCCATTAACCTGAGATTGACTTCTCATTGATCATGGAAACTACACGCAGCAGCTTTCATTAAGTTGAACAGGTTGGGAAAAGCTGGGGAGGCTCCACTTTTTAGACGATCTTTGTAATTCTCAAAGGAGAAGAATGGCGAGTTTCTATGTTTTTCTTATCGTGAACAAATCCCAAGAAAAGACTTAAACCAACAATGTATTTGTCTGTTTTTCTAACATCTCTATCTGTCGCACTCAGACTTAATCCCATCCCACGGACGAGGTATTAAAACACAGGAACTGGCTGTTAGCAGGATCACAATGTTGTTGGTTCTGTCCTTTTTATGAGATTTATCGACAATAAGAAAAATATAGAATATGACCAACATTATCCTTCTAAGCTTTTTCTCATTCATCTGTTATTATTGTTTATCTGTTGTTGGTCTCTTCTTCTCTCAGTCTCCAGACACGGCTTTGCCTGAAGGAGAGAAGTGGGTGGGCTGTCAGGGTTCACAGCCTCAATTCAGACGTTATCCTTGTGGGGTGTGGACTCTCTTCCATGTTCTCACTGTCCAGGCCAAGAAGGCCGGAAGCTCAGGTACACACACACACACACGAACACACACCTCCCTCATTTTATATTGCATGGGAAACACTTTCTGTTCAATAATTCATTAATTTATTTTCATTTTTTCACCATTGTTTCTTTATTTAGTTATATCTACTTCCCTGTCCACTTCTCTCACCTTTACCAGGTTCTTATTTAATCTGGCCCATAACCCTATTATATGAATAGTGCCCCTCATAGCACTCAATTATACGTCTTTAAAATACATCACAATTAGCAGGTATACAAGAGTTTGTAAACGCGAGCAAACCTGTGAAAAAAAGGTAACTGACCCCCTTCCCATTGCCAATTGAGGAGTTTGCCTTTCTGTCCACCCCCCCAGTGCGTCATGTTCAACATCACGAACCCTGAGGCGCTTTCTCACTTCATTGTCTTTCCAAATTAGCACGCTCAACCGCATGTCATGTTTCCATCACTGCCGATCTGAGCTGAGTAAAACTTGTGTCTACTGCAGAGTCAATTGAAACAAAAGCCAGATGTTAGTGGGTTTTTTGATCAGTGGAAAAGGGGCTTTCGAGTGCTGCATTTTAACCCAAACCTAACCCTTGTTCTTACCCTAACCTAAACCTTAACCCTTTTACAGCAGTTTTAAAGAAAGGATCAGTCCTCACTTTCCCCAAATGTTTTCTTTGTTAGCTGTGAAAAAAAAGGGCACTGAGAGTTCACAGAGACAGGGTGAGGTGAGGGCTTTGTGAGGCTTTCTAAACAAATTAGCCCAAGAATGTTTGGTGCACTACTTTTATTTCACACGGACCTGATTTTACATCAAATTGAAGGTCTGGCTCAGAGAAACACACGTGTGTCTCGATGACGTTTTGACCAGAATTCTTTTCCATCCTGTGCTTTGTGTCTTCTGGTCACAGCTAAAATTGAGCCTATTTGTGACTGTGTGAAAAGGGATTACGTTAGATTAGTGGAATGTGAGTGGTTAATAAAACAGACAGATGACCGGAGGCTCCACTGCTGGCAGGGACGTTAATCTCCCTTCAACGGACACACACATACATACACACACACACACACATTAATCCCAAGGTTTACGTACCGTCATGTGACCTGCAGATGGACTGGCCAGAAAGGGGGTGTCCATCTGGCCCCCCACAGATCACCATCTTAATGGGTGGAAACACACCCGCACAGGATGCACCATAACATAAAACTCATCCATATACACAAGCTGCCGACTTTATTAAAGGAGTAAACACATAAGTGAAGGTTTGAACATCTCAAACACAAGCTTGTCCCTATTTTCACACACACACACACACACA